TCAAATAAAAATTTCACTAAAAATTGAATTTTTAATCGTTTGGAATTTACTTTGAGAAAATAAATTTCTTAATATGACTTCTTGGAAAGTTATTTTTTAGTAGATTTTATAGCAACTCGTATGTATACGAGTCACCATCGATACCTTCAAAATTGGTATGGCAAAATTTGTATAGTACTTGCAATACAATCGATAAATAGAGAACGCAACAAGCGCCGGAATGATTGTATATATATTTATCTAGGAGCTACTATGTCGCGTCTGGATTTAATCGATTATCTGCGCGGTATTGGCGGACGTACATATATCTTGCATCACACGAGCTAACCAGCTGGTTGGTTGGTAGTCGTTACCTGAGATCATCCATCTATCCTAGGATACGGTAGATAGCGGAGAGATTGCTTTCGCTTTAACTGGATACAAGCAAACATATACACATGACTTCGTATGCGTGCGAATGCATGGGGAGGAACAAGATCATCCTTGCTCGTCGCATTGCTCGTGAATACGTATAGTGATTGATATCAGCTCGTACGTATGGACTAATATGGACATATCTAATGACATCACGTATTTTGCGCGACTATATCTGCATCTCGGCTCGCATAGCTCGCTCCGATAAGTAAATAAAATTCGATACTAGTTTTAATAAATCAACATCCAAAAACCATGCATGAACATTACAAAGAAAAGACAATTTAAACCCTCATCTCAATATCTCCACATTGCTTTGAGTTAACATTGCTTTAAGTTACATTTAAAATTATAATCAACAATATATTATATAATAAATTTCGACTTTGCTTTTGTGTCAATGTTATGATTATCATCAAATATTGTTTCATTTTATAAAATTAATAAAAATATAAAACAAATAACTCTGAAAAATTACAAAATCAACAATTGCGTTTATAAAAATCTGATCACGAATGTCAATTCGATTAAATTACTTTCGACATTTTGATGCAAATTCATCAGAACACTTATCCACGTTAATCCTTAAATCCTTTCTTTTTAGACGTTTTCCTTCAAGCCATTTTTTTGGATTTACTCGATCGGGCGAGGGATGTAGGGCGTTGAAAAGTCGTCAGATAATAGATTAGTCGACTGACAGATGGTTAGCTACACTACGGAAAGGGAGATACCACGGTGTCGGATTTAACGGAGGCTGAAAGAGCAGCCGGATAGTCGGGCACGACGGTATATCTCTCGGCTTTTCTCTCGTTTATTTTTTCTCTCTTTCTCTCAAGCTACCTCTTGTTCAACTCGAGTTTCTAGTTTGTATCTCTCTCACGGTCTTATGTAAGAAAAACAGGCAATTACAAGCTTGGTAATGTGACGCTATTTACACTGACTTTTATTACACAATTTTGACACGTCATTCGATCTCAGGACGTACAGAATATTGATTCTTCCGACGACGAGGAGTCACGAAGGATATTATGTAAAAACCTATGGTATATATATATTCACACTCTCTGAGTTATATATATCAGTATTTTTTTAAAGAGTCTAGTCGACAATTACAGTGAGTGATCTAATGAAAGATACGAGTATTTAACACGATATTCCATAACTTCTTCATTTTACCGAAATTAAATTAAATTTCCATACGGGCAGGACTACGGTCGAGCGAGTTCACGATAGCTAACTACATCTGTCTTCTCTTTGTGGTTCAGTTGGACAGCGTGGCGGCGAGCGTGCGGCGTGCGAAGCAGTCGGAAATAAAAAGAGAAAAAGGCAAGAAAACTCTGTTGTGCGCCGCAACAAAGTACTTCCACCGTGACGTCTTCCATTCTGTTTACGTCGCCATCGATACGTTTATTCGCGCGACTGCCGACTACCCGCAGCCCGTAGTGCCGACGGAAATGACTTGATTAACAGCAAGATTATGTTCGTTATGGAACCGAGAAGTGGTTCCGTTTCGCAAACAAACGGAACAGAATGCCGCGTATCCGTGACGTTGTTATTAGAATTCACGTACCATGAAACTGTGAAATATATTTATGAAAGCAGGAATATCTTCGGAAAAATATTGCAGATTGATCAAACGTGATATTTTAACGAAGAAAGTTTTGCAAATAATTGTATAATTCAACGAGAAAATTTCTATACGATATTACACACGATAATTTGCATAACAAGTAAAAAGATACATACATCAAATATCTTCTTAAATAAATAATGTTCTTTCACTAGAAAATTTTTGTAGATATGTTAACTAAAGAGATAATTACTTTTTAAACAATAATTTTAAGCATTACAGTAATTTGTTGGTAGTTAATAAAATGGTCAATTTCAAAGTTGCAAATTATAAAGTCATCAAGTTGAGTAAATCTGACTCAGGATGTTTTTTGTCTACAGTTTTACAAATTGTAATGTGTTTTCAAGTAAACTCTCAATCTCCCCATCTTTACGATTATGGCGCGTTCATTTTTATTATTATCAAAGGAATCATGACGTAGTTCCCATTTGCGTGATTCCACGCAAACCGCGCCAATGGTACGTCGCGAAGGCCGTCAACGGCGTGTATGGTCGAGGTCCAACGAGGACCGCAATATCTCGCGATAATCAATTCCAGTTCTTTAAATCACGACCGAAAAACTCGATTATCCTGTTTACCTTGGAGCGAGCTGTTCTTTCTGCGGCCTGTAGCGTAACGAATTGTGCGAAATTGCCGCTCAGGTAGCTTCAAATATACAGGGTGGTCCATTTTAATCTGTCCGCGAAATTTTTTATTGTTTGGAAATCGTACACCAAATAAAAAAAAAAGAATTAATAGATTTTCAAGATATTTTATGTGGAATAAAAATTAAAAACTAATGTAAAATGATTTTTTCTTTAAACTTTAGATGCATTGTCATATCTTTAGCATAATGATATGTGTATAAACTGTAAAATTAGGTAATAAAAATACATTAAAATATTTTTAAAAAAATGCAATTTAACTTAAATTTTCCATTGAAGAGTATCATACTATTCGTAATACATTGCTTTTAAATTTAGCTTGAAAGATCGTTTTCGATCAAGTGATTTTTCAAGATCCAATCAAGCGAAAAAAGAAAAACAGTACTGTGTATGTTTTGTACTGAATAAATTTCGTGCCTCGCGTTACAATGTCACAAGGCTGCCGGTGTATTTTCACGAAAGTCCCTCGGGCAACGACGACGGGAATTTTCGCAATAAGGAGTCGCGTTTATTGCTAAAGAAAAACACCCTGTTCTTTACGATCTCGCTTTATGAACAGGTTGAAAAGTTTTTGCAACAATCGTCGATTCGAAGACGCCGTGGGTTTTAAACGCAAGTCGTACGCGGACGCGTATCGAGTTAAACACACCTGTTACACTCTCTCAAAGCGGCCGAATCGCACTAATTCAATTAGCACGTAACGCGTTTTCGCCTGCCAATCACTCGGCCCCACTGGTAAGTAGACTAATTACCCTTTCTTCTCGTCAAGAGAGCCGGCGTGCGCGGCGCAACACCGCTCGCGCACTAATTGAATTTCACGTCTCGCCACTTCGCGGAGTTACCTGCGCAAGGATGCCAGTTCATCGATTCCGTACGATTTTCCCGCAACACTGATCGGTCTGTCGCAATCTATCGCTTTCAGACTTCAATACTTAAGCAGGATTAATCTTCCACCGTCGCGTATACATTAGATATATGATTCAATCTTTTGTATCAAACGTAAACTTAAAGTTAAAATTACGAAATTATTTGTTTTCAGCATCTTGAAGATAAAAATAAAGTTCTTAACCATTAAGATGTTCTCATTAACAATAATGTATATATTTTTCATTGTAATGTTTTCTTATCGTTGTTCGCAGAAAATGGAATTTTAAAAGAAATTTTAAGAAAATTATTTATATGTACACACGTGCGTAAGTTTTTAAAATAATTTGTATAGATTTTCTCGCTTGTGACATCATAATCAAAACGGTAAAAGAGAAGATTTTTGAAAACATTTAAAGTGTTGATTTCCAAAAAGATTGTTAGTTTAATCTCCCTTAGAGTATGTCTCTGTTTTCAATTTACCTTACAGCCTTAATATAGCAGGTCACGAGTGAATTATGCAAACTGCGGCGCATTAACTTCTGCACAAGACTGGCTAGTGCCCGCGTGTAAAATAATTTACAACGTTTCCGAGTCAACGAACAAGCGCCCAGCGCGCGCGTGGAGAAAAAAAAGATAAAATAAACGGAGCAAACAGGACGAAAAAGAGGAAAAGCGAAACGGAGAACGGGAGCGCGGCGAATTAGGAGAGAGAAAGAAGGAGGAAGAAAGAGAATATACGTAGGAATTGCGTTAGATAAAGAAAGAACGGAATATAAAGAATGACCGCACACACTTGCTCTTGCGAAGCAATGGAAGCAAAGAAGAGAGGAGCCAGCGCGAGTACGAACAAAACGCGGTAATGCTCGCTCCACTCCTCGTTGTGTCCTACCCGCTTTAAATAACTCGATCGTGTTCGTCATTTTACCTGTCTCTAACTACCTATTGAAATCTCGATAATAAAACACGTGCGCGCGACGGCTATACCGCTGGCATTTCGGCGCCTGCGGCAAGCTCGAATGAGACCTGTAAAGAGCTTTTTTTGGAAATAAAAAAAATAATGAAATGCCAAGTCAAATTATAAATAAATAAAAGTACAAAACGTGTAGCAATAAAAAAAGATTATGTTACTAATTTTGAAAAATAAATAAATAAATTTTTCAAAAAATTGAAAATTTTATAACAGGTAAATAAGTGAAAATTATATATGAAATATTTGTTAAATGTACAAAGTCTGTTCATTGACTTAATTAAAAAAAAAAAAAACAATTTTTCTATTAATTAAAAATTTTCCAGCAAAATAGCGGGTCACAGTCAAAGTAATAGCTTCTTGTATAATTCAAACACGCCTAGCGAATAATTATTGTCGCTAATAATACCGTTGCAGATAAACATCAATGACGAGGAAGAACACAAATACATACAATAGCATATAAAGTAACACTCACCGATGCAGAATGAAGCTGAAGTATGTAGAAGAACTGGATAAGCGAAGTAACAGTTAATCTGTAAAAAAAAAAGAGAAATCGTAATGAGTTTCTGAAAATCGTGTTGTAATTTCAAAGATTAATTTAACAGTTTTCAAGAAAGTTAAAAATTTCATAATAGCAACTATAAATGAAAATTATATAAAATAATTATTCACAAAGTCTGTTAATTTTTGTAATTACAAAAAGTATTATTTTTATAAAAATCTCATCTCTCTATTGCAATGCAATTAGAAGACGAATCTGTTGGATGACCTGTCGGAATGATTAAAGCATTAATAATTCATAAAGATTCACAAAAATTTATTCTATACGATCTTTGTGCTAATTACTTTCAGCAAAGTCTCTCGTTTTATCTAAGTGTCACTATTAAAATATCCATGAAAATACACACAATAATTTTGCTGATGTTGCAAAAAGTATAACATTTGAGGATAGCATAACCTGCTTTTTGTACTCGCGATAGTTCAAAGCATCGTGTCGCATCCTTAAGACGCGCCAGCTCGTTTACGTTAATTACTCGAAACGATATCTCCACTTTGATAGAATATCATTAGCGTTCCGGTACACGAGAATTAACGTCTCGCGATAACCGATGGGTTCGGGTTTACATGATTACACTGTGATTATAGACCCACGCGGCGTTTAAGCACGTCGGCGCGCTGATGAAGCTATCGATATTTGCTTAGAAATCTGTGTCATTCCAAGCACGTAGGTGTCCAATGAATAATTATGTCGCATGGCGATTGAGATGTATAAATTATCGAATTTCTTTCTTGCGTCCAGCATGTCGCTATCCAGTGAAACACAAATACATAAACATATTAAGTATACAGAATATGTATATCTGCAAGAACAATTTACAATGATAATATGTTTAATATAATACGTTTAACATAAATCAGCACAATAAATTCCCTTATTTTCAAATTATTTTTACATATTGAAAAAATAAATGACGAGAGAAATTTCTTTTTTACGAGAAATATTAATCATGGTAAAATAAAATCTTGCGTATGGACACAGTTATAAATTGCAAAATATCATTCTAATTAATTGTATTAATAAAAGATTTGTCTATGAAGAAGACTAAAAAAAGTCTTTGCGGAAAAATATTGACCCATATACTGCGAGGCGTGTTGGAGAAAAGAGTTAAAATAAAACAAACTATTGTTTATTCATTTATCAGTTTATCAGTTATTCGTTTATCAGTTTTTTTATATCATAGAAAGAGAGAAACAAGAAAAAAATAAACAAAAGAAAAAGAAAAAAAGAGAGGGGGGGGAGGAAGAGAAAAAGAGAGAAAAAGAGAGAGAGGTGCGAGTGTACAAAATGTCCCTTTATTTTCATGGTCGACTTCACTGTTCGTGACAAATTTCCCTCTCCGCACAAGTTCGCTTAGTCTCCGATCGAGTGATTCCAATGTAAATCACTTCATCGTCAGCGCTTTACACACAGTCGATCGACCGAACCGTCGTAGCTATATCCGACAGATCGGCATCGTCTGTAGTCCCGTAGCTTAGACTTAATTACTGCGATTAGCGTGAGAGGCGGTCCACTATATCTGCGCGTATTACAC